AATTTTGTTGGAAGTAGAAATGGTGGCATGTACAGTGACTAGACTTCCATTTGCTTTGACATATTAAATTAGAAAAATATGGCTTAGTTGTATGGAAATTTTTCTCAATTAATATTTTTTTCTTTTAGTGTTAGAGGCAACCCTAGAGTTATAGTTTTCTTACTAAATATAATGAAAAAATTAAAGTGAAAAAAATCTAATGATAAAATAATATATAACAATTTTCATTTTAATTAAATAAAGTTAAAATTTTAATCTTGGTTTACTAGATAAATTTTATCTTTTTTTTTTCTTAAAAGACAATTTAAGATTGTTTCATTCTCCTCATAGAATGATCAAAATAAGATGCTCGCTAGTTTCAAAATAATAATAATAATTAATTGTAAATAAATTGATTGTTATTGTAATTTATCTTTGAGGAAATTTATAATGAGCCATGGAACTAGATGATATAGAAATTTCATGAATAATAAAAATTAGAGAATTGAAGACTATTATATGGCTTTAATTGCTTGAGACCTTTCTCCATAACTTTGTTTACAGATTGCATATATTGTACTGCGAAAATAGGGGTTCAAATTATTCAAGTTGATCTGAGCATCAAATTAATTGAGCTAAGTTTGTTTATTCTTAATGAGCCCAAGGTTGGGTCATTAAAAAATTTAGAGACTTGAGCTTGGCTCAAATGCATGAGCTTATTTAGTTAAAGCTCAACTTTGAATTGATTGTTGAGCTTGATTTCTTAGGTTTAAATTAATTTTTTTGTTTTTGTAAGAGTTTTTATTTTTAATATAGAATTAATTTTAAAATTTTAAAATGTATTATTTAATGAAATTTTAATTTAATTTCAAATATATTTTAAGTTAATTCGCGAGCTCAATGAGCTTACGAGCTGAGTTAGGCTAAGTTCAAGATTGAGCTCATTTAATACACAAACTTAGGTATAGGCTCTAACTAAAACTCATAAGCTTGTTAACTAGTCATGCTCAAGCCGACTTGACTCACTTATACCCCTGGATGAATGCAATTGTAAAGCTCTTCAAAACAAAGCCCAAGTGTTTAATTTACAACTTTCTTACCGCTTTGCTTTTTTTCTTTTCAGAATGCAGTAATAGTTTCTATTTTCCTACTATATTTTCATTGATTTGAAGAAATTTATGTGAGAGGGAGCTATTTTTTACGACAACTTTTTTAAAAAATATTTCTCCGGCATCTACTTTGAACCACCTTTAAAATGCTATAGCCATTTCAGAATTACCCCTAGCCTTTAAATTTAAGCAAGTCATGCATTAGATCCTTGCATGCAAAAAACCTCTGAACAACTTAATTTAAATTTATACAACCTACCATATATTTGTTATCATAAAAGAAAGCACATCATCTCATTAGCTCATGCTTCCAACATATACTATCCCTCAGTACTTTAAAGATATCTAAATAAAATAGAAGAGATATATTACTAGATTGATATCATCAATAAGAAATATAATAGAAAATCTACATAAAATTTTTTAGCCAAATAAAATGTTTTAAAATAGATTTATGAACAAATAAATATAATAACAACATAGAAGGATTCAATAGACAAAAATAATAAACTAATTAATCAATCCTCCAAAATTTCCTAATGAATGGTTAAGATGCAGACCTTCAAAATCATTTCATGATTGGTTGAGACATTAGCATTGCCAGGTTGATCAGAAGAAACAAAAGGGGTTGGGGGTATCTCCAAACTCTTAAAATTTGTTGTGAGCATTTGAATAACTTTATTCATTGATGGACGCTCTGTTGGATTCCACTGTATGCACCAAAATGCAATTATGGCAAGCCTTTTCATAATTTCTTCATTTCCCTCCATTTCCATAGCTAAACTTTGATTGTTGTTATGGACCAACTTGTTGTATGTCCACTCTAGAAAATAAATTTCACTGAGGTTCTCAATTGTAGGATCAATATTTTTCATCCTTCCGTTCATTTCTAACAGAAGCATTCCCGAAATATATGCATCTGATTTATGAGAGAAATATCCAAAGTTTCTAGAGTATACCTCTGATGCTATGTATCCCATAGTGCCTCTTGCAGCGCTTATTGTCAATGCTTTGATCCAAAGTTTCTAGAGCAAACCTCTTGTGCTATGTATCCCGTAGTGCCTCTAGAAGTCTATAGCGCTTATATATAAGAAAGTTTACATATATTTATGTACTAAGAAGAGTTATCTAGTGATATTTAATATTTTTTGTCCATTAAGGAGCCCACATGTCTATTCATCGAGTATGCCAGATTAGAAGTGAAACATCTAACATGCAAAGAGAAAAGAAATCAAATTAAATCATCAAAGTCATTATGAAGAATATATATATATATATATATATTCCAACACCTTCATAGGGGTTTAGGTTTAAGTTCCTCATTTAAAGTATGATTGAAATGATCATTTTGAATCCTCACTTTGAAAATATGCTAACCAACCCAGTTCTTATCAAGATTTCTTGCCCACTCATAGAAATTTGTTAATGTGATCCTAAAATGACTATAGGTTCTCTCATGATTATATAAGTGACCTAAGAAGAACCTTTATTTATTCAATCTATGCTTTCAATATATTTTCCTTAAGCTACCTTCAGGAAGACCACTTTCGTCTTCAACCATGCTTGTTTAATGGATAAAAAACATGGCATGGGCATTTAACTTCCTTCACTTTTTGATCAATTATTTATAAGTGTAATGGGCCTGATTATGAGAATTATTCCAATAAGTTTATAGGCATTGATTTTACACAAGATACAATCAATCTTAAACACTTCAATATGCATTTATAAGATCATTTGTTGATTATCTAACCAAACTTCCTATAAAAGGTTTAAACCATCAAATCATAAATGATTTGACCATAAAGGTTTAACATGCTCATTATCGACCTGATTAAGACTCTTGACTTGGCTTGATATTCTAGCTATACATTTTTACCTAGTATTCCAACAAACATAGTTACTTTCATTAGTTGAGTCGACAGCTAATTCAATAATATCCTTTTGATTGTGATTTTCACTCCTCCTGCCTAGTAAAATCATGTTATTTTGACAGTATTACTTGTCCTCTTAACTATATTATTTTGGCTAAAATAATTCTTTATTTGGTCTTATTCTTTTAACTGTACTAGTCCCTAACACAATTATGCTTTGTGGCTATATTCATCTTTAAACCTTAATATGATATTGCTAATTTTTTTGGATCTCTCTAATTTAGTCATGCTATTTTACCTAAATTGATCATTAGTGTAGTACTAATTATACTATCCTACTATTGGTCATACACTCGTGATTAGATCTCATTGATGTAATCAAAATCTTTTGACCAAGCCAACCCTTGGTTTTTTCATGCACCATTGGCTAGGCCACAACAAGAAAATCGGCTGATACCTGTGGCTAAAATTCATTGGGAATCATAAAAATCCACCAGAAACTATGCATTTCCGGCGACAATTCAGTCAACGATAAATCGTGCATCAAAATCCTTATTACGGGCGGAAACTTTCCACTGGAAAGGTTTCCAGCATATTTACCAGAGGAATATGGTGGTATTATTTGTCATTTAAGAGTCATTATTACAGGTGGTTTATCCGCTAAAAATTATAGTTAAAACTTTTTGTCATAAATTCCAGCAGATAACTCATCGGAAAAGTTTATCGGACACAGACCAACCGAAATTTTTGACGGGTTTTCTGTCGGAAGTTCCGTTGGAATATTTCTGCTAGAAATACAATACATTTTCAACGTATTTCCATTTATGGATGAGATTTTGCCAAAAATCCGCCGCAAACCTGTAGCATAAAAAAAACACCACTTTTTTTATGTTTATGTTTTGTACAACACAACAAACTTGCATAAAAATATACATAAGTCATATTCATTCGGACATTGAACATAAACAAATAATTTAACACACCAACTATGGAATGTAAATAGGGCTTTCTTCAACGGGTTCTAGAGAAAATTCTGACGAAAATATTTTGTTGGGCTTAAGTAAGCAAGAAGATTTTCTGCCAAAAGTTCTGCTAATAATTTTTGGCGTATGTTTTGCCAAAAAATACAGCTGGTTTTACTAAAATAGATGATTATTTAGTCGAATTTTTCATCTGTAATTTCTAGTTGAATTTCTGCTAGAAAACCTGCCGCTAAGTTACAGGCAAAATATCTACCGGTTACACCGTGCTTCTACTGGCGGATCTAGTTCCACCAAAAATTTTGCTGGTAACCCAAGGTTTTGCTTTAGTGGGCAAACCATTGTCAAGGCCATATTACTCTAGCTAAGTCCTTTCCATGGTAAAATTATACTCTTTTGATTATATCTCCATCTTTTGAGTCATGCTATTTTGATTAGAAAATATTATAAATTTATTCATGCTCCTTTGACCAAACTTATTCCCTGGTAGGATTTTTTTTTTTTTTTTGAATGTCGACGAAAGAGTGATTGAGTTCAAAAACAAAAGGATATTATTATTATTATTATTATTATTATTATTATTATTATTATTATTATTATTATTATTATTTTATTTTATTATTGTTATTCTAGTTATATTATCAAGAAAAAGAAAATGAAATTGGATAAACAAGAAATGAAAAAAAAAATTCTATAAATTGGGCTCTTAATCTCTGAAATATATATTCTTTATTCATTTTTATTTTTATACAATTTTTACCTTTTAAATTATCATTATGCATCTTACGTTATAGTTAAGTATAAAAGTGTATAAAAACTTTCATTTGAAGCAATTAAGTCTACCGAGGAATAAAATATCCTGCTCTTGAAGCAGTCAAACTTGGCTGCTTGAATAGTCAATAAAAAATAAAAAAATTCGGGCCAATTAAAAATCAGCAAAATTAATGGTAGAATTCAATTGGCTTCTAAAAGTCAAAAGTATCATTGCCTTCCCATCATATTATACAACCATTCAATTATTTAAACTTAGATGGAGAAGCCTCCTCACTTGAAAGAGGGACAAGTACGAGAAGCTCATCGGATGGCATCACTTTTCAATTTGTTTTTTTGTTTGATTTTCTTCTCTTTCTCTGAAATAACCATGAGCCATGGCAAAAGAAGTTGCTCATCATCTTGCGGAAGCCTCCAAAACATCAAGTATCCTTTCCACCTGAGAGGTGATCCAACTGAATGTGGCGGTTCTGATTTTGAACTCAATTGCGAAGGCAACAATACAATATTGGAGATCCACCAAAGCAAGTATTATGTCAAAGATATATCATATCATGATTCTACAATTACACTTGTTGATGTTAATTTGGAACATGGCAACTGCAATCTTCCAAATGGATCAATATATCCGGATGATTATAACGAAACATTCTGGTTTGATCAGGTGGATTTTGGTTTACAAGGTCAAGCCACATTTATTAACTGCTCAGTAAAGATCAACAATCCAAATTATGAAATTGTGCCTTGTCTCAGCAATAACAACTCAACCATCTATGTGCTATTTAATGCTTTTTATGTTGGGTTAGTCGAAGTAAATTGCCAATTTCTATTCACAGTTCCTATGATCCAAAACACAGTTCCTATGATCCAAAACGTTGATCAACTTAGTATGTTTGATCAACTAAAAAAAGGTTTTAGGCTGAATTGGCGTCCTTTTATTAATTCAACGACAGATGCAATTCACATTTGTGCTAAAACTGCGGGACAGTAAGTATGTAGACTATTACACGTACAAAATTTCTATTATCCATCTTTTAATCTTCATTTCCTAATTGCAGTATCGATTTTATTCAAAGGGAATCAACAAATGTTCTTAATGGAGAAAAAGTCATGTCCATATATGATGTGATAAGTCCTTTCCGATTTGAAATTGATTTCTTGGCATGTCTCCATGAAAAACAGTACCACCATTCAATATTAACTTTCTATGCAGCATCAGTAATTATTATAGTAATGGACATAACACTCCCAATATTAGGTAGGAATATGTTTTTGAATATAACTTGGAATTATTTGTAAAATGCTAAGTGGCAGTTAAATTTCATTCTTGCAGTTTTGTTAATGATTGGAAGGTTTCTATTTTCACCGTTATGTGTTCTTTCATTCCTTGCATACAACTTATTCAAGCTTATCAAGCCTGTTGATAACATTGAGAGGTTTTTGCAAAATCAAAACGCCCTCTCACCATCAAGATATTCATACAATGATATTATCACAGTTACAAGCAACTTCAAAGAGAAGTTAGGACAAGGAGGATTTGGGTCCGTCTATAAAGGAAGGCTCCCTGGTGGTTATTTGGTTGCTGTGAAGATGTTGCAAAAATCCATGGGTGATGGAGAGGATTTTATTAATGAAGTATCTACTATAGGTAGGATTCATCATGTAAATGTAGTGCAACTTGTTGGATTTTGTGCAGAAGGATCTTATAGAGCTCTGGTTTATGAGTACATGGCTAATGGGTCTCTTGATAAATATATTTTTTCTTCAAACAAGGAAAATAGAATCCTTAACATGGACAAGCTTCTTGAGATTGCCCTGTCTGTGGCCAAGGGGCTTCATTACTTACACCAGGGGTGTAATATGGGGATTCTTCATTTTGACATCAAGCCTCATAATATCCTTCTTGATCATAAACTCACACCAAAGATCTCTGATTTTGGCTTAGCAAAGTTGCACCCTAAGGACCATAGTCTTGTCTTCATGAGTGCTGCTAGAGGAACAATTGGATATATTGCACCAGAATTAATATCGAGAAGTTTTGGGACTATTTCTCATAAATCAGATGTATATAGCTTTGGCATGCTTCTAATGGACATGGCTGGTGGGCGTAGGCATAATGACTTGAAAGCAGAAAATTCTAGTCAAGTTTACTATCCTTCATGGATTTATGATAAGCTAAACAAGATGGAAATGTCTAAAAACTTTGGCATTTTTGAGATTGATGATTTCGAGAGGAAGCTATGTAAGGTGGGGTTGAGTTGCATTCAGACACGACCTGTGGATCGTCCTTCCATGATTAATGTTGTGGAGATGCTACAAGCTGATGTCGATTCCTTACAATTGCCGCCAAAGCCTTTCTTCTCTTCTTCAGATCCGGTGCCTTCTATAAACATTTCTATGAATTACTCTAAATCTGAACTATCAATTATTTTAGAGAATATGTAATTCATGTGAAAGGTGTATCACTTTTGAGTATGTAGCACAAAATTTCATAATGGGTTATTTTGTTATAATATTTTTTTATATTCTATTAAACCGTGTGTTATATCAAAATGTGATGAGGAGAGGATTATAATTTACTTTTGTCAAAATCAAAGCAAAGTTGCTAAAAATATGTTATGTTTCCGTAAAATATAAGAACTCGTTAATTGCATAATTTGGCAGAGGTTACTATATTCAAAATTTTTATTTAGCTTATGTTTTCTTTGAAGAAATTGATCGGGTTGATATGAAAAGAGAACGGATCATAAATCATAAAGAGAATAAAATTAAAATTAACATCCATTTAGTTTGTCGAATAAAAATTTAATCTTGGAACTTTTATATGCAAGTTGTATTGTAGAAATCAATATCTTAAGAGCGAAGGTTTTTTTTTTTTTTGTTTATGCTACAAGTTTCCGGTGGATCCTTTACGCTGGTATTTTTGGTGGAAAATCTGCCGGTTTACTCGTCGATACAATTCCGGCAAAATGGGTCGGCGGAATATCCACCAGTAATTTCATTGCAACATTTCTAGCGGAAATACTGGCGGATTAAACACAGTAATTTGTTCAAAGAAAATAACGTGTTACCTTCATTTTGTTTGTCGGAAGATCGGCATACAATATATTTTTGGCGGAAAAATTCTATCGGTTTAGATTTTTTTCCGACGCGCGAATTACCGTTATATAGATTTCCGCCGGAAATTCGTTGGAAAAGGAACATTTCCGACGGATTTTCCTTATTACCGAAAGATTTTGTCCTCTAGTAACAAGCGATTTTTCTGTAGTGAAATCAATCATAAAGTTTTTTTTTTCACCTTTTTCCATTAATTGATTAATGAGAAATTCAGGTTTTCTTTTGTGAGAGTTAGACATATGTAAGTCATAATGATATTGCCCATTAATTAAATGCTCCCCAATAATTAAATGCACGTGAATAAAATTTTAAAAAAATAATATCATAAAATTTTAATTAATTTTTTTATAAAAATATAATATTATGATATTTATCACTATAAGTAGTACTAATTATTAATTATAACAATGAAAAGTTTTATACTTTTCTTAAATATGTTTCAAACAAAAAGTAAAATTTTTTTAATTTATTTCACTTACCCGAATATTAAATCATACTTGATATCATAATATATAACTTCTAATGCAAAATCTAGCACATAATTTAATATAAGATGATTTAAGGGTAAACATTTTCTTATGCAACCAAATATGCAATATAAATTTTGATGAAACAAATTATTATAAAAAAAGAAATTTTTATGAGAAATGATAAATTAATATTAAGAAAATCCTTTTTCATCGAAGAAAATAAAATTCAATGCTAATAAATAATTTATGTCATGGTACTAAGAAATAATGACAAAAATTAATGTAAGGGAAAGCTACCCATTTGAGTGAAGATCAATAATTCTCAATAAGAGGGAAAATAATTAAAAAAAACTGTATCAAAAGCTCATACAAAAAAACCTCTCCCTAAATTTTCAAATATTAAGATTCATCAAAATTCTAAAAAAAATGATTTACACATCCAAAGTATTAATTTTTTGTTGAAGATAATTTATTTTTATTACATGCTCAAATATCATCTATGAACAACACATTATCAAAGTTCAACTACAATAAAAAAAAGAGCCCTAATAGTATACAAATAGTTACAAATAAGCTCCCATGAGCAATTTAAAAAAAAATAATAAAAAAAAGCTCCCACGAGCAACATGTATTACAATTAATGGAATCCTAAAAAAGAAATCACATAATCACAATTTAAAAAATACCAGACTCGAAAGTTTAAATTTTAAATAAAATTCAATTGAAGAATTTAATTGGAATATCTAACTTTATGCAACAAGATCACTTTCTATACAAACAAGCTGAATTATAGAGAATAATTTTGGGACATTGAAAGAGAAACAAAAAGAAAAGTATCTTACTTGTATTTTATAACCGGCAATGCGAGAAAATGATTGAGTTCGGTGGCTTTTTCCAAAAGAAATCGGCGAATATTTGTCAGAAAAATACATTTCGGCGGATTTTGGACGGAAAGTTTTTTGCCATTTAAACACGTGCAGGAAAAAAAATAATGGCCAAAAAGGAAATTATCACATGAAAAATAAAAAAAATTTCTTGGCAAAAATCATTTTTCCTTTGCTCGAATTCTACCTGCCAACCCATGCTTTCTTGTGCTCGCCTGTGCTCACCAGTAACTACCAGCGGCCCATGCCTGTCCGTCAACCTCCTACCTACCTACCTACGCCCATGCCAACCCAGCTACTCGTGGTAGCCCCTAGCAGCGGCCCGTTCCTACCCGTAAACCCACTACCTGCTAGTGTGTTATGGTTCGAATCTACTACTTCAGGAGACTATCTAGCACCCATCCAGTCAGCCACTTGCAAAATCTATTTGAATTATTATTCTTTTTTGTTTAAATTATTTGGCACATTATATTAAAATTAATAATTAATTAAAAAATAAATATTAATATTCTTGTAATATAATGAAGTTTAATTAATTTACTTGCATAGATACATAAACTGATTTTTTATTTTAATTTAAATTTTTGTTAGAAAAATAATTAAATTAAAAAATATAATCTTTGCTAATATTTTTTAAATACTCATTAAATATTATTTTTTATTAAATAATATTCAGAACATGTTATTTTTTATTTAAGATTATTTTTTAATAATAATTTTTAAATCCTTCAATTATATATTAAGATTATTTTTATTAAAGATTATTAAATAATAAAATTTTTAATTCAAAATTCTTGAATTTTTTGCCTAAATTAAAATTATTTAACAAACTTTATGAAATTATATAACAATATTTATTAAATTAGTTAATTTGTAAATTAAAACTAATTAATTTAACATAATAATAATAATTAAAACTAATTATTTAATTTATAAATATATATTTTCCAGCAAAATTTAAATTCCGTCATAAATATTCCAATTAAAATTTCCATTGGAAATCCGTGAAATCTTTTGAAATATTTTGCCAGAAATCCATCGGAATTTTAGGTCGAAAACTTATGTCAGTACTTTACTTTTTTCCTATATTGTGGAGATGTTAGTTTCACTTTCAATGAAATTTCGGTCAAAAATTTTGTCATTCTAGCTTCTTTGGGTTATAGAGCATTTGCTTTTATAGTGTTTGTTATAACCATTGTATTGACAGCTAGTAGATTTGAGTTTGGAGAAAAAGATTGTTGTGATTCTTGGAAGAATTTATGAAGGAACTTATATCATTTTATAGGGTAAGAAACTTCATAAAAATACTTTCTACTATCTTATGCTTCTCCATTTTGTCCAAATTGCAAATTAATTATGCTTCTAGCATTCAACATAATAGGTGTATTGGCTTTCAGAGAGCAATAAATATTGGTAGAGGTATTAGGTATACAAAAAGTTTGTGAAGCTGAACTGAAATGAAGTGAAAAACCTAAGAATTATGCATGTTATACTATCAACAACAACATCAAGCCTTTGTCCCACTACGTGGGGTCGGTTTTTTTACCACGCGGCATACTATAAAAGTTAAAATTATGATATTTAGCTAAAAGGAGTTTTTGCATTACAAGGTTCCTATACTATTTGGTTTGAAATCAATGGAAACTAAAATGCTCATATGAGTTAGAAGTCATATTCTCCCAAAAAAAATGACTTAATATTTGATTTTCAAAAAGATGGATGCTTTTCACTTTTGGAGTATCAACCATAGGTTCTACTAAAAATTTCTCCATTTTAAACTCATTTCATATGTAAAGGAAATTGAAGGCGTAGAGACCCTTGAGAGAGCTATAGATCGTCACTTTACCTAGATTACATGGTGTGTGCCTCTTGTTTCAAGTAACACAATGTTTAAGTTCCTTAAAATCTAACTTATTCATCATAATGATAAATCATATATCTTGAAATATAATTATTAGTAATATAGAGTTGCAAGAATAAATAAAAGTTTGTAGCTTTGCTTAGTGAGTTGATGCTACAAGATAATAAAGAAGTTAACTGATTCTAAAAAATAGATAACTAGAAGTAACAGTAAATGATAATGAAATTAAACATTTTAGCAAGCAAAAATGATTATGAATTAGCAAACACAGTTCATAAAAATTGAGAAACAAAAAGAATATCTAAACAAGCCTCCTGGAAAATCTCCCTTCTCGTTGCATCATCACCGCACACAATCCCTATGAGTATATCACACATGTGAAGCTAAAAAAAGAGAAATAAGAACAAAAATTGCAAAGACAAACCAAATTAAAATTACATTTGAATTAGTTAAATACAAATATAACAAAGGATTACAAATTACAAAGCAGAGTATTATAAGAACAAATAAAAATTGCATGATTAGGCAAAATGTATTCGAAATTATTAATGTAAAACAAATTTGTGAAATGAACATTTCTTTGTTTTGAATATCCACTTATTAAAACAGATAATATAAATAACATAATTCTGAGATAATATCGTTGTCTTAGACAAATGCTATCTTTTCTCCATCAAATAGCAACATAACTTTACAATCCAAACTTTAAAGTAAAGATCAAACACCTTAATCAATTAGGATTTTTGAATGTATAACATAAAATTAATGTCCTTGAAGAATGCTACATGAATCAATTAAGGAAAAAAAAAACACCTTAACAAAATAGATAATCTTGTAGAAGAAAAAAGGTTTTATTTTGTAATGAAGCCACTTACAAATCTAATGCATAGGAGCTCTTAAAACTATAACAACCACAAGCACTACAAGGACAAATATGAGAAAAATGAACACTGAGAAAGAGGATAAATTATTACGTGTGGTCACCGGGCCATCTTGAAGTCAATCAAGATGTGCCACATTACCTGATACACAACAGTACACATAAATGATATACAGTAAATTGGCGACGTGGCGCGTAATAATTTTGCGAGAAATAGAGAGACAGGATGTAGGCCTTTCTGGTGACAACATTGTCATAACCTCAATGGCTTCTGCTTGTGATTGTTCCCATTACTGCTGACATCAACTTAATCATCATTCAATAAAAATAAAATAATATATATTTTTAACATA